CACACACACACACACACACACACACACACACACACACACACACACACACACAGAATAAATAAATGTGCTAAACTGTGTTTTATTATTATAAAGGCACTTTCAAATACAAAAATATATTTATTTATTATAATGTTCAACTTTTGAAAAATCATAACATATATAACATGGTGTTGGAAAATATCTAATTTTCAATACCTGGATTTTATTATGAGCAGTGGTGAGAAACAGAATATTGTCATAACATGTGGTAGATCAGGAAATAAACACCCCAAGTATCCTATGACCGATTTAATGTCACAGCTCAGGCCCAGTTCACACAACATCGTTTTGAGTGAAATGTTGAGTTTTTCTTTTGTGGTTTGGCCGTTAGTGTACGCAACAAAGAAATCGTCTGAAATCAAAGGTTTCTGAATTCTGGTCTCAGAGTGGAGCTCTTGTTTAACCTTTATGAAGGAATGTTAGGATATCCACCAGTTTGGGTGTTAACACTGCATGGGCAATGTTCACAGTTGAACCCAAAATCGAGGTTGCCAGGAAAAACAACAAATGCTATTTTTTTGTCCCTTCCTTGTCTGCCCCCATGTTCACAAAACAACAATACGTGCTACAATGCTCTCGTTCAACAAATTACTGTTGTGATTAAAATACAATTGCTTTAAAGTGAGAGTAGAAAGGTTTCCCTGGTATTCTACTGCAGCAGATCCATATAAGCGTGTGAATTTCTTTTTGCCCCAGCAAGTATTGAAAAAACTTACCTTTCCAGAAATTGTACTCAACTCAGCAGGGTCTCAAATTTTCCTGCCATTTTTTTTCAGCCCCATGTGGTGGTGATTATTTCTTTTGCCACAGCAACATGTGCATCAACCACACCCTTGTCTGCAACGGTGTCCAGAACTGTGTCTACCCCTGGGACGAGAACCGCTGCAAAGGTACGCTGACAGCAGACCAATGGTCACATGATGGATTTGCAATGTGTAGCTGTTTTTTTTTCCCCTTGTCTAATTATTGTCTCTTTTTTAATAGAGAAGAGAAAACCCAGTATCCTGGATACACTGGACAACACTAACCTGACCATCATTGGAATAACTTGTGGTCTGGTTGTCATCCTGCTCATCATATCTGTCATTATCCAGATCAAACAGCCTCGCAAAAAATATGTCATTCGGAGGTGAGACATTTTAAATTCACTCAATGGATGATTGTCATAAAGTGGTTAAAGTTTATACTGTAAACTATAGCTTTAATAGCTAATTTTCATCAGTTTTATGCATTTTTCTTTTCTCTTTAACGGACTAAGCAACCTCTTGTTTAGCAGAAGGGGATGATGAGATGCTTTGATACAGTGGTCCCAAACTTTTCTTTTTCTAAACCCATTTTAGCTGTAGCAGAGGTTTGCAACCCCATCTGTCATTAAGTTTGGGATTTTTTTTTACCCTGCTACTGCAAACAAAAGCATAGTTCAGTTTATTTTATTTACATGGCGCATTTACAACAAAAGTCAGCTCAGGACACTAATCCACAGAAAAACATGTTCAGTCAACCCAACTCCAAAACTGAATTAATGTTAGTTTATTCCAGTGGTTCCCAAACCTTTTCTAATGGTCCCCCTTTGGTTTATAAAAATAATTTCATGCCCCACCACCACAACCACCACACACACACACACACACACACACACACACACACACACACACACACACACAATGACACAAACAACTGGAATGATTGTGAATAATCTCCCCAAGCCTGATTCAGAACGGGTAAGACACGAGAGGATTAACAAGAGTCCTTGTTGATTTAAACCTCAGCTGAGTTAATCACCTTCTTTTCTAAACTTACAGCCGACTGGTCTGTATTATCCATGCGTTATTAATGTATTTAAATATAAGAAATTACTTTTGTTAAAAGTGAAAAGAGATCGTTTTTTTAAATCTGCTCTCCAAGGTTTCCATTTAGTACAGACAGGCTACACTGTATGTTTTGATGACCTTTATTGAGTTCTTATTTTTCACACTTTTAAACAATCTTACCAAATCGAATTCTCATTGCAAAAAACATTATTATCACCAGGTAGGAGTCGGTGCCACGGAAGCCTAATCTGTCCTCAACTAAGCTGGTCTATTGAGATTTTTTATTCCACCCAGCAAATAGTTTCGTCAGTGCAAAGGTTCTTGACACAATATGTGTCCTCATTATGTGACTTTTTTTTCCTATTGGACGAAGGGCACCAGGTTTGCAGAGGTGCTCAAATGAGGTCAGAGGAACTGTGCTGCTTTATAGATTATAAAATCTTTGACCAGCTGGGGCTTTAATTTAATTTTTAATGTGCTTTCCATATGGTTGTGTTTATCTTCTTTTCGTGTTCTTTGTGCCTAATATTAAGATATGGTTTGCGGATTTGGTTAAATGTGTTGCAGTGACTTTTGAACATATTTCACAAACTACCGAACATGATGCAAAACATTAATTAAAAGTGTAGCGTTTGCTTCTAGCATCAGTGTTGGTACTTTTACATACTTGCTCCTGTTCTTGTTTTAACCTGCATTCATTAAACTCCTGCACATTGTGAGAAGATAACTTACAACAGGTTGAAGCATGAACTAAAGATGGTTTATGACTTACATTTTCAGATCCTGAATTTGAAGAACTTGGGGCACTGCCAACTCTGCCAGGTGAGGATTTGCTCTATTTCTGGATTTTACAATATTAGGCTTAATTTACTTTATTAAAAATATGTCAAGTATCAGTTTAGGACTCAAAGTGGTACTTTACAAAAATTGAGGATTTGTTTTTGAGATTTTAGAACTGGTATGAAGTTCTGCAAGATATTGGCAGTAAAATAGTTGTTTTTATTTGCAGTTTGAATGTAATTTTTCCCTTTAGTTCAATATTTTGATAAGTGTTTGCCTATTTTTATGCTTTTTGCTCCCAAAAACAGGCTCATGTTCTCAAAGCTGCTTATAGCTTTACTTTAGGTTATTTTTGTCAGAGTTTAAATTATGAAAGCTGGTGTCAAATTCATCGTCTGAAGGTTGGAACAGAATTTGAGTGAGCATGATTTGAACAAGAAAAGAGTTTGTATTTAATTTATGCAAGTCTATGCAATGTATTTTATAGTACAGTGTTATACATATAATGGTTCTAAGATAAGAACCATTATATGTATTATAGGTGGGCGCGAGCCCACCTATCCGCCCGACGCCTTGCTGCCTGCCCGACCGCCCGCCCCACAGCGCACATGTCTGCCAGTCTGACCGCTTGCACCGGCGCGTGCCTGCCTGCCTGTCTGTATGGCAAGCCGTTGGGGTCATAAATCGGGCGTATATTTACGTGCAAATCCTANATTTCTGTGCAAAGTGGGTTTTTAAACATGAACAACACCCTGAGAGGAAAAAATAAAGGTTTGTTGATTAACAATAAATCTCCATCAAAAACCTGTCCAGGCTACCAACATCTGAGCATTCCCCCCTCCATTCAGTCAAGCCGCGCCCCACCTGCAATGGCACTGCACCCCCCACCCCCACCCCCGCCAGGGGGCGCGCCACACACTTTCACTGGTTTATTCCTATTTTAATACGGTACATTCACATACAGTAAGTACTCTTCGGAAATGCAAATGTATTTTAGATACCCATCTGATTGCAGCAAATCTTACTGTCATCTTAGCCTCCCATCCTGAGCAGCACATTGGGGACAGTGGAAAGGAATGACAACCTTTTAACAGGAAGAAACCTCCAGCAGAACTGGGCTCAGGATGGGCAAACATCTGTCTTGACCATGTGGGGTTAGGGTGGACAAACAGGAGACACAGACAAACACAGAATGACTGGTCCAGGTGTAATCCTATGGGGAGAGAAACCAAGTAAAAACAAAGGGTTAAAAACAATTGTAAGTGTGCGTATAAACATGGAGAACAGAGCAGTAAGGACCAACAGTGCCTAGCAGCAGAACTAAGGGAAAGGTGAGAGAACCCAAGACAACCCTAGCTATAGGAGTTATCAAAGGAAAGTCTAAACTCGTCTTAAAAGTAGACAGTGTCAGCCACAGACAGAAAGTGGGRATTGGTTCCACAAGAGAGGAGCTTGATAACTGAAAGCTCTGCCTCCCGTTCTACTTTTCGAAGGAACTACAAGTAAAACTGCAGCCTGGAAGCGAAGTGCTCTATTTGGAAATTATGGAACAATAAGATCTATAAGATAGAGCTTGGTTGTTCTGAGCTTCATGTGTTACAAGTAAGATTTTAAATTCAGTTTGGAATTTTACAACCCAAACTGCTTACAGTCAGCCTTAATTGCACTAAAAACTCCTAAATCTGAGTAGGAAGTTTTGTCAGGTCCAAATTTTCACTTTTAAATTAGACTGTAACAGCCTTCAACAGACATGTTCAGGTTAAACTGAAAGTGAAACTTTATGCGAGTATCATATTACTAATGTTTTACCAGTACCTTTTGTTCATACACAATTTGGTTTTATAATGTTTATTTCTGTGAGCCCAAAGAGAAATATTTGAAATTACGTTTCAATCTTTTCATAAAAAATAGAATTAATTCATCACAGGAATACTTTAAACGCTGCAGCTGACATAAACACATGAATAAAGAGGATGTTTTCTTTTACTCCATCCTGTTTTATTGGGGCTTTAACTCACGCTGTACTCTATTCAGTGTGTTTTCTTGTCARCATTTGCATTTTCTCCATCTTGTTGCATCTGCAGGGATGAGTTTGACTCCACCCTCCTCCACCCTGGTTTCGAGCCTCCACACTACGAGCTCTGCACCCTGCGCCGCGCGCCTTCTGGCGACCTGAGCGACGCCGCCCTGGCGGAGGACTTCGACAAGTTCCACAAACTGCGGCGCGCCGAGAGCAAGTGCATCCGCGACCACCACTGCGGCTCTCAGCAGGGGAGCATCCACGGCAGCCGCAGCAACCTGAGCTTGAGGGACGCCACCATCGCGCCCGACGGCGGGACCGCAGCGCCGCCGCTGTCGCCGATCGTGGTGAAGCAGGTGTCGCCCCGCCCCTCGCAGCACAACACGCCAGCGGGTCGGCGGAGCATCCTGGTGATGAAGCACAGCTACTCGCAGGACGGGGCGGAGAGGTACAGGCCAGAGGAGGAGGAGGAGGAGGAGGATGACCTGATGATGGACGTTGGTCCCACCACCAGCCAGCACCACATGCACCACCATCAGTTCCATCACAACATGCGTGGTTTGGATCATACTGTCCATCGCACACTGTCTAATGACTTGTGATTCACTGCGACTCAATGTGGAAAACCTAAAAATAATCAATGCTGAACTGTATTAAGATTTATGGAGAGACTTAGAAAAACGTACCATTTAGCTTTTTTTTTTTCTTTATTGAGATTTACAAAAATGGGTTTTGTAGTGTTATTTATTAAAACAGCTGCAATTTGAGTTTGTCTAAGATTCTAGTTTAATATTAAATATAGTATTATAAACTGCAGCGTAAACATTAACTGGTGGTTTTAATAAGAGAAAGTCCCCTAAGCAGTGGCGCCTATTGGTGAGGGGAATGAGGGGTCCACTTAAAACCAAATGCCAGAGCAGAAGTTCAGGAGATTTGCAATGTCTTCATATATACGTTATTTGACAAATATGGTAATACGGGAGTCCTTTTCTAATATACACAGGTCAGCTTTAGTTTGTTGATTACCTCCACCAAGGAGGTTATGTTTTCGGTCGCGTATGTCTGTCTGTCTGTGGACAGAATTACTCAACAACTTACTGACAAATTTTCATGAAATGTTTGTCACAGGTTGATATTGGCCAAAGGAACACACCGTTAAATTTGGGTGATGATCCGGATCACGATACGGATCCAGGAATGTTTTGAAGGATTCTGCGCTATTGCAGGATAGGGGAACTTGTCTTTGGTGGAGGTTTATGCTCTCCGAGTGCTTCTAGTTTATTTTAATTTTTGCTGTTTTTGTTTTGTTTTTGTTACAATTGATATTACTTATTAAGAACTTACTGTCACGTCTTGCAGCTTGTCCTCTCCTAAATGAATATTTATTAAAAAAATAAAATATTTATATGAAACTGCCTGAACAAGGGGGATGGAGGGCAGTGGTGGAGGCCTCTAACTTTTTCGAGATGACCACTGCCACCCCCCAGGCCCCCTCTTGGCGGCACCTCTGTCCATTTGCTGAGAAAACAAGGTTGGTTTTATGAAACGGCAATGTTAGAGGGCTGAAAGTAATGTATAATTTAAGGTTGATTGGGATAAATGCCATCTGTTCTACTAGATCACATTCTCCTTTATCCCCCTATTTTCCCTTGTTATTTAAGTTTCTGCATATACTTTAGTTGTAGAATATTTTTATGTTTATTAAGCATGTTATATTTATGAAAATGTGTGGTTGAAATTCATGATTGTAATGCTTTCAGTATGTATAGAAATTACCTCCAAAGGAAGAACAATTTTGTTAGAAAATGTTCGATACCGCCTGTCTTTTCACTTCATTTAATCCAGCATGTTAAATTTATGCTCATTTATTTTATTAAACATTTGGCCTCATATTAAATATTCTACATACGTGTTATTTTCCTAAACATCAATGTGTGTGTGTGTGTGGGGGGGGGGGGATGTGCATGTTAAAAGTTATTAAATAAGGAAGGAAGAAAATTCATGTTTTCATTTACAGCTGTAATGTGAAAAGAACAGCAGCCATGGCAGTAATAAAAACATGCCATGCCATGTCAAAACATACAATACAACTTTATTTGGAAAGCGCTTTGAAACAACCCTGTTGGCCGAAGTGCTGTACATGATTAAAAACACATGAAACATACAAAAAAACAATAAACTAAGTAAAATGAGCCAATATCTAATATCATAAATACCAAAACCAACATCTCAAACTGAGTTAAAAGCCAAGGAGAAAAAAATGTTTTGAGAGCTGATTTAAAAACAGGAAGTGAGTCATCCTGTCTAATGTGCAAAGGCAGCTCATTCTAGGGGCAGCGACTGAAAATGCTGACCTCTCAGCCTCCTCTCAGACTTTGGGACGACCAACAGAAAGTGGTCTGCTGACCTGAGGGCATGACAGGGAGTGTAAGGTTGGAGCAGGTCAGATATACATTGGGTCAAGACCATGAAGACATTTAAAAGCAAACCATAAAACTAAAAGTTATTTCGAAACKAACTGGGAGCCAATGTATTGATTCTAAAACAGGAGTGACGTGATCTTGTTTTCTGGTACCAGTTAAAAGGCGAGCGGCAGCGTTCTGAACCAGCTGAAGTCGAGACAGTAACGACTGGCTCAGCTCGACATAAAGTGCATCACAGCAGGCCTAGTCTAAGCTAGTTGTGATAAAAGCATGGATCAAGATCTCAAAATGATGTGAAAGAAATGGTTAAGATTGCGTGTGCATGCGTGCATGTGTGTGTGTGTGTGTGTGTGTGTGTGTGT